AGCACGATCGGTCTTTGGATGTACTTCATTGACCAGTTCGACTTCACCTCCAAGCACATTCCGGGCTCCTCGAACAAGGCGGCGGATGCTCTCTTGCGAAGACCCGATCTTTGCGCCATGGTGCACTCCACGTTCGGCCTCGACGAGGACCTCCAACAACATTTCGTAAACGGCTACAAGTCGGATCTGGGATTCTCCACACTCTACGCGGACTTATCATCGGACCAACCGCCGGCAAGCAACTACCGCATCACCAACGGCTACTTGCTCCTCCATACGCGAGGCGAGGACTTGTTGTGTGTTCCCCAAGACCGCATTTTGCGCACTCGCCTGCTCGGTGAATACCATGATTCGCGGCTGGCGGGACACCTTGGCGTCGCACGCACACTTGCAAGACTCCGCCAGCGTTTTCACTGGCCGGACATCATCAACGACGTCAACCGATATATTCAGTCATGTGCAGTTTGCCACCGGAACAAAGGACGCGATCAGCTCCCGTACGGCGAACTGAAACCTTTACCAATTCCTCGGGCACCGGGTCTCTCCATTGCTATGGATGTGACCGGCCCATCGAGATCGCCTCGGCCATGATGGTATCCTCACGGTCGTTCACCGTTTGAGCAAGTACGCACGATTTCTTCCGTGCAAGTATCATGCGACGGCTCCCGAGCTCGCACGACTCTTGCACACCGGCTGGTTTTGCAGCCACAACGTTCCGGAAGACATCGTCAGCGATCGCGATACTCTTTTCATGTTCGCCTTTTGGACGACACTTATGGTGGAATCAGGCACCAGCATGCGACCGAGTTCAGCACGACATCCTCAAATGGATGGGCAAACAGAACGTGCGCATCACAACACTTCGGTTGAGGACTTCCAATGGTTGAGTGTGCGGCAGATGATGCTCCGCACACTCATCCGTCCGGATCAAAAGGACTGGGTTGACCGTCTTTCCGACATCGAATTCGCCTACAACACTTCGGTGCACCCGACAATTGGCGTGACTCCATTTGAGTTGCATTACGGTGGACGAAAAGGCCGTATCTTCGCAGACATTTTGCTTCCACGGGCTGCCGACATAGATGCCGCTTGCTCCCCCGCTTCCACTCGAAAATACCGGGAACTGCTGGCCAAAGCCCGCGCAAATATGTAGAAGGCTCAGGTCCGTATGCAGCAGCAAGCAAACCGGCGTCGCATCCCATGTACGATCCGCGCTGACGACCTTGTTTGGGTCACCTCCGAGGAATTCGCGCTTGAGGCGAACGTCTCACGCAAGCTCCTCCCCAAGTGGTTTGGACCATGGAAGGTCACTGCAGCAGCTGGCGACGACCCGACGGGTCCATCTTTCAGCATCGAGATTCCCCCGCACTTGACGGTCCACCCGGTCTTTCACGCTTCGAAACTGGCGGTCTACACCCCGCCCGCACAAACGGAATTCCCAGGCAGACGGTCCCACGACCCTCCGTCAATCGACGGTTACCAGGAGGTCGACCGGGTCCTCGGCCATCGCAAGTACAGAGTTACTTTCAGGCAATGCGAGCCCGATGACACACACTGGATCTCGCGAGCTGACTTGAAGACGTCAGCACCCCTCATCTTCGCGCACTACGAAAAACAGCGACTGGCCAAGGAAGCTGCCCAACCCGCCCGGCCCATCCGGACATCGGACAGACAGCTTCGCCCTTGCCGTTAGCTCGGTCTTTAAGGGGGGAGTTTGTGGCATTCTGAGCCACACGGGCCCTAGACAGGGCGCGGTTCCCAGTTGGCAGGGTAGGCCTAGGGGGACGACGGTTCAGACCAGTCCCAGATAGGCCAGGGGCAGGGCACGTTTAGGCCCAAATGGCCAGAGGCTGGTACCGGTTCAGATTAGAACCTACCGGCGGCGTTTCAGAGGCTGCCCAGAGTTTAGGCGCCAAGTCCAGTTTGAATCTGGACCGTTGATCCGAT